GGCCCCCTTCTAATCTTAAATGCTTTGTATTTATTACCTTCAAAATAACTAGTAATAGAGCTGTCAAATAAATGTAGTAGAGTAAAAAGTATAATATATATTGATCTGAAATGTAGTGCAACTGTGGTTGGGTTAGATTATTTAACTCACAGTAACAGTCATATAGCTTTAATGAAAAGCTGGACAAGGATAATACAGAATATATATCAGATTTTTCAAACTTTAACGCAAAATAAAGAAAATTATACCAGTGGTTTCAGCACTAATTAGAAAATAGATTCAGGTCAGAAAGTGCATCACTTTTAGATAATTTATTCTAATGTGTTCTAACACCAACGTAAGGCTAAGTGCTAATATTGTGCTTGTACTCGTAAATCAGTGTGAACCATGCACCTGGGTACTACTACCTACACAAAACACAAACCTTACAGCAGCAAGCATGCGTTTTCCAAACTTGAGTAAAATTGTGTATTAATGGCGGTGTAGCTTTCACAGAGCTGGGAGGACGTTTTAAACCTCCTCCAGTCAGGTTTACCTTCAAACGGGCAAAAAACGGCAGCGTTCTGCTCGAGCGCACCGTACGTCTCGGGTTTGAAAACACAATCGTGTTGTTTCAGCTCACTTTCTTCTCCCAGCAGTGTGTGAAAGGCTGTCTTTGGCATTTCACACTCATCTCTTTGAAAAGACGAGTAAAGCCCTACAGCTTTGTTAAGCGGCAAGTTAACACATGAACCTGGAGAGCCTTTTCATTTCAGGCTGTGTTGAAATGTCTAATTCCAAGGGATCTTTTCATAAGAAGGGTTATGGTGTAACATCCCTTTGCTTTGAGCCTATTGATAAATCAATGTGCTCGTAATTCTCTGTGATGCATGTCAACCAGAGTAGATCAAAGATAATACGGTATGTAGTGAGGGCCACCAGACACTGGCTGTGTATATACTCTTATAATGATATGATATCTCACTTCTATGATAATAAAATGTTTCTGACATGTTCATCAAAAATGCATCACCTTCCATCAAACCAAAATAGGAATGTAGGATCAAAGAGAATTCATTTGCTAAATGCATTTCTTTGTTGCAGGCCGGGTACTCTGTGTTTACCGATTACAGAGCTGGTTTTTACCAGGGTAGAAAATTAACACCCTCCACCAGCCAAATGCTGCTAAAAGCTGGCTGTGGTTTTGTAAGTTTGTCTCCTCTACCAGCCACTTTGGCAGGACTATTATTTGGATCTTGGTTGATGAAATGCGGGGCATTGGCTGCTGTGTTCTGTTCGACGTACAAGTTTAAATTACTCTATTTAAACCTAAAGAGATACGGCAACAAAAAGAAGGATGCGGCCTCGGTCCAGTCGGTAGTATCACCGTTACTCAGTCTGCACTGGCAGCAGTGTGAGCAGCAGTAGTCTGTTGGCTGGCACAGTGAGAAAACACTCAGTCATGGCTGTTGTGGTGCTGAGTCGGCCTGCCCAGGCATGGCCAATCGCTCACGTGCGTACACACACACACGTTAGTGAGACACAGGGCGGTTCCTTCATCCAACAGCACATTCTTTCTAGGCAGCGGCAGGCGGCTCGGAGGTTTTTGTGCATCAATGTGTGCAAGGGGGAAAAAAAGTGTGTTGTGAAGCATGGAGGTGAGTCCAGAGATGCACAAGCGTGACATCAGCAGGACCATGATCCGTGTCAATAAACAGCATGATACCGGCGTTAAGTTTGGGTGGAATACTGGAGGTCAATCAAAGTTGGGCATGCTGAGAGAGGCTACATAATGACGTGATACTAAATGCTAAATGCATTAATTTATAGCAAGGATAATTTATAGTCTATCTAATAGTTATCAACAACATTTTGCACAAGTTTAAGAACTGTTTAGCAGATTACAAAATTTGACAAAACCCCTTTTCTGCCATAAAAAACAGTGTGCACATGTAAAAAAAAGTAATTATGAGTTTAAATATTTTAATGAATTGGGTTTCATTGTGTCAGATTTTAGAGGGTGCTGCAGCTCCTTCAGCACCCCTGCTTTCAGCATAGTACGTCAGTGTGTGCCTCCACTCCTCCCTCACCCGCTCATCAATACTGTCATCTTCATCCAAGAGGATCTGCACGTCTCAACGTGTATTAGACGTACACAAGCGGGAGCACATATTGTCTTACAAAAAAGAGAATAAAAAACAAAATTGCCTCAAGTTATCTGCTTCACCTTGATCTCATTGCTTTTAGAGCATAATGTGTCTTTTATTTTATTTTTCAGCACACAACCCCTTAGTGATTTTCATGTGAATTCATGTCTGTGTTAAGTAGTTTTGATTTGTGAGATGGAGCAGTATCTACTGGAGCCAGGCCCCTGTGTCATAAAAGTGTAGCTGGAGTTCGGTAGTGGTTGCGGGGAGGGCAACCAGGAGCTCCAGAGCCAGAGGTGGGGAAGGGGCCAGTTGGTTTTGCAGTGCAGCCAGGCAGTGGAGCCCCTTTGTGGGACTGGAATGTGCCGTGCGTGCCTCTTCCTCGGCTGGTCCCCCGTCCACCCCCCACCCCACACACACACGGCCCACCCCGGGCACGTTAGCACGCAGCCACCGCAAATTGCTTGCAGATTTTTCACACATAGTAACGTGCTGGTTTGTAAACTCGGGAGAAGTGCAACCGACACGAGGCGCTGAGCTCCGTGGATCTTTATGCATCACTTACTTGAGTGTGTGGAGTTCTGAGGGACTTTTCCCCCCTGTTTTTAAATTTTAATTCCTTGTCCCCCCACTCTGCTAATGATTAACAGGAATGATTACTGTGTGTGATAACAATAGAGGGTCATGCAGCAGGCACTGTAGCCTGTTCTGATTACAGGACGAAACCACAGCAAGCTAAAGAAGACCTGCTTCCTATCGCATCAGGAAACGGTTTTTGATGAAAACCGGGGGGGACACCTGCCATCTTGTGACATATAAATCTTGTAAAAGGCAATTTCGTCAGGTTTCATAAACCAATAGTAACAATAGAACCTTACATTGAGTTTTAAGATTATATGAAACCAGATTTGAATAAAATATCCACGTCCGGATTAATTCAAATGTTCTGTTTTTAAGATTTTACTGATTAAATGTCACATGACTCCTCCACCAACCTAGCATCTTAAAGCTGCAGTAGGTAATTTTTTCAAAAATAACTTTTTGTCATATTTGCTGAAACTTTCACTATATCCCGACAGTAGAACATGAGACAGCTAATCTGTGAAAAAGTCAAGTTCCTCTGGCTCTTCTTAGTGCTCCTAATGGTATTTGTAAGAATCCACCAGGCCTGATTGAAAACAACCAATCAGAGCTGAAATAGTTGATTGTTGAGTCTTATCCCCAGGTCATCAAATACAAATGCTTTGGGGCCCTGGGATTGAGACTCAACAATCAACTATCTATCTTTTCTCAAGCTTCCAACACAAAGTGTCTTTATATCTTTCTCAGCTCTGATTGGTTGTTTTTTCGTCGAGGCCCGGTGGATTCTTACAAATGCCATTAGGAGCACTACAACGAGCCAGAGGAACCAATTTTTTACAGATTATCTGTCTCATGTTCTACTGTCAGGATATAGTGAAAGTTTCAGTAAATATGAAAAAAGTTTTTTTTTTTTAATGACCTACTGCAGCAAATGATTGAACCTCTTTGTATCTTTGTCCCTGTCTCCTCCGCCACCTCCCTCCCTGCGCTGGCTCTATGTCAGCGGTCTGAGCCGGGGTCAGAGGGAGACGGCATCAGGCTCCGTCCAGGGTCAGGGACACTCAGCTGGGCAGGAGAGGACAGAGCCGAGGCCCCACCAGCACAGAGCTGCGCTAATGAAGGGCCAGGCGGCCAGGAGGCCCCCGGGTTACACAGACAACAGTTTTAATTGGTCTAATGAGATGCAGCGTAGGCTCTGCGAGGTCAGGTACCGCAGGACGGAACAGGACATTATGGGTCAAAAATAGGAACTTTTATATCTGCCTGAGTTTGTTGAGCTTTTCTTGAGTTAAACATATTTAGAGCGGTTCAGAAATTTCATATTTGGGGGGTTGAAATAATTTAAATGTTGGTTGGAAAACCAAACATTCAAATCAAGGGTTTATCATAACAAAATAAATAATGCATTTAACTGTGCCAGAGTTTTTGATTATTTGGCTTGTGGATTTGGACTTTGGAGCAAAGCTCATGTCTACATCCATCATTTCTTGGAAAGTCAGACAAGGTTGGCCGAATAAAAACGAAACAGATTCTTCTAATTGCTCTCTGATTTTAATTGCATTTTATTTGCCTTCATTTCACATGCACGTATGTAGAGATTTTTACGCTGGCAGGAAGGCCTCCTGCTCACCGCTTTATTAAGACTTAATATTGATTCATTTGTTTGCAGCGTTGCAAGCAAAATAGGATAACATTATAACAGTTTATATTCTGAGAATTGACGTGCCCTGCAGAAGAGTTCCACATTGAACTGGCTGGAAAAAATAGAAAAAACTAATTCTGATCAACATTATTAGACCTAAATTAAATTATTATTTATTATATATTATTAATTATTATTAATAATATTGTTCCTAGATATGATTTAGATAAAACAAATGTAAATTATTGAGGTGTTAAATAGCCTAATAGCAAACAATAAACCTGGATAATTTAAGGCTGATCATGCAAATTAATAGAAAATACCAAATTATCAGCAGTTTTAATGGATGGACTCTCGTCTGTTCATCCAAACGGAGCTGAAAACAGAGTTTCACAGGCGCACTAATGAATCAAACTCTGGGTTTTTTTCCAGAGTAAAGAGCCTTTTCTCTCCTCACTGAAAGAGTTAATCTGAAGTTGGCAGCCAACTCCAGTCTCGGTCAGACGTGCGGAGAATAGAAAAATGAAGGACTTCAAAATCATCTCTTTTGTCTTTGGACTGTTTAAATCCAGCTGAGGGATTTCATGCAGAGAATTCTGAAACTGAAATGGATGCTTCTGCAGGTTGAAATAAAAAATCAGTAGAACACATTTTAATATTTAGGTTTATTTCGTTTTTATAATACAAATCTCATTTAAAGAATGTGACAAAATGGGTGAAACCAGGCTTTAATAGAACAAATTTGCACATATTTTATTGCACATGTGCAGCAGTATTCCGGGTCATTCGGGGCCTTGCAGGAGAGTGGCCCTCATTCCCTGCACAGACCACATTTTCAGTCACATTTCCTCCAGTTTCGGCTCTCCTCAGCCGGTATAACCCGACGTCGGCTTTTTTTGTAATGGCAAATGCGTCTACTGCCAGCTTTTTCCCCACATTATTGCTGGATGATGATGATGATGTCTTCCCTGTTTTTGAAGTATTCATATTTTGTAAGCGCCCTACGAGAAGAGAGAGAGAGAGAGAGAGAGAGAGAGAGAGGGGTGATGGTGCATTTTTAATTGTTTTGGCTGAGTTTTTCGTCTTATTAACGGAGTCTGGATGATATTTGAGGGAATTAGCCAGAGAAACATGTTGGTGGAGAATAATCCATGACTTTAATTGGCTGAATTTCGGTCTATTAGAGAAGCACGCGCAGGGATTGTTTGTCTTTTTTTTTTTTTTCTTCTTTTCATTTCCAGGCCCTGAAATGCGTCATGCGCAGACTGCATCCGCGTTTTTAAGGTAAAAGATGAAACACCGGAAGCTTTTGTTTGGATTTGTTTGTTGAAAAAAAAAAAGTAATATCACGAGGAGGAACAGCGGCAGCTCCGACTGTTAATTGATAAGAAGCCCTAATTAAAGCTGAAGGCCATTTGGCTCTAGGAGCTTCCAGGTAAGGAGATTTAAGATGATTGACGGGTTTATGTTGGATGGATCACCTAAAGCGTCCCTTACAGCAGCCTGAGCACCATGTAGGCCGGGAGTGCTGCAGCAGACAGTGCAGATCACCTACGGATAGTCTGAATGACAGTTTCTCTCCCTCTAGATTTTGGTACTTGGCAGGAAACTACACGACAGTTATTCCTGGAGAATAAATATGTGACTGGAAGCACATGGAAAGCAAAACATTTAAAATAATATAAAAAATAGCATAGCTAAGGAAAATGACTTAAAAGCGCCTTGTAGTCAAATCCTAGTGACATGTGAATGGTATTTTATTTGCATTTTGGCAGGGTCAGCCACAAACGCTTCATTCCTGACTAAAAAGCAGACACACATGAGTCGCATTCAAGTGCCAGTTAAGTTTCCTGATTTTTGTGCTGCAGGTGGGAAACAGAAATATATTTAACTCTCTCTCACACACACACACACACACACACACACATATATATACACAAAGACACACGCACCACCACCACACAGTGTGGCTTCCTTTGTTGCTTTATCTGACCTGTGCATCAAACGTCTTCGAGTCTGCAAGCGGGGATCAATGTGGAGGTGTGGTGTCCTTCACTGGCTGATGTTCATGAAGCTGCACTGCATTGTTGGGAGTGAGGCTGGAGGCCGGGATGTTTATTAGGGAGAGAATGGAGGTTGTGTGTGGGTTGTGTATGAGTGAGTGCCTCTACCTTTGTTTGCATTATGCAGTTTAGCTTTGGTCATTATTTTAACATTTAGATGTCCTTCAATAAGAGTCTAAACTCTTGAGTTTTGGGCACTGTGACTTGTGGTTTTCTTTGATTAAGGAGAGAAATGTATGAATTCAAATAATGTGTGAAAATGCTAATTTAGAGCTGCAACTCCTGTAAAATGCTAGAAAGCTGTGAAAAAGGCCTGTTATAATTCCCCAGAGCCCAAGGGGACATCTTTTAATTGTCTATTTTGTATGACCATCAGTCAAAACATATTCAGTTTGGTGTCATACATGACAAAGCAAAGCACCAAATACTCATTTTTGAGAGGCTGGAAAAAGAACTGATAATCTGAATAGTTGCAGGTTAATTTTCAACTGATCCACTGATCTCTTTGCATCTGCATCTGTTGGCTGTGTGTGATTCTAAGTGGAGCGGGTCTCTAGGTGATACTGGATAGGTTTTGTTGCCGTGGACTCCGGCGTTGGCAGACTTGTGAGTGATGTGAACAGCACATGAACTGAGGAATCATATGATTTCTTTGGAGTCACAAGCCTCCGTCCTCCCGCTGTGTGATTCAGCACCTCAGACTGGCTTGTCTGCGGAGCAGGTGCAACCCTGAACGATGTGCCTCGCGATGAGGCAACATGGCAGCCGTCGCAGCTCCGACGCCAGACCCTCCCGGGAGTTCTGCAGGGGGAGGCAAAATTTAGGATTGGGGAACACTTTGCTGTTCAATAAAGATTTAGTTTCCTCCGCTGCCTCCCCCTCTTCAATCCTGTTACCATTTCTGTATTTTTCCTCTAAATCATCTCGTCATTGATTTGTGTGTGTGCAGTCAGAGGGAGTGTGGCTGCCTGGGTTTGTTTCTCCCTCTTTGTTTGCTGTGGTAAACCCATGAGCAGCTGCCGGTGGTGGGGTCTGGAGGGATTCTGAAGCTGTGTGTCCTCTCTTTGCCATCCTCTGCCAAGGTGGCATTATGCAAGCAGAGAGAAGGGTAGAGAGAGACCGAGAGGGCGGGGGTGTGTGTGTGCGCATGGGGGTGAGGGAGACGAGGCGATGGCGGCCATAGTAAAGATGGAGGCGGGCTGAGGGCTGCGGGGATTGGTGCAGGAGGAGACTTGCTCCCCCTGAACTTTGCCTCCGTGTCAGAGTGGAACTTGTCGATTTGGCAAATTGCGCGGCGTCGGACAAGGCTGCTTGCTCTCTTCCACTCCCACCTGCTCTTTCTCTCTCTCCTGCACGCTCTCGCTCTCTCCTTCTCATTGCCACCACACACACCTCCCATCCCCTCCCTCCCTCCCTACCCTCTCCTCTTTCTCTTTTTCCCTCCCTTTCAGCTCTTGAAGCTAACGCATTGGCTGGGCTACAGGCATCTTGTTGCCAAATAGGTGGGCCCTACTCGTGCTGGCAAAGGCTCAAGCAATGGTTAGGGAAAGAACGCGGAGAGGACGAGAGACGGCGAGCGAGAAACAGAAAGAGAAAGAGAGAGAGTTGGAGAGAAAAGGGGAAAAAAGAAGCAGCACTCGGCTTTGCCAGCGGTCGTATGCGCTCGTCCAACATTGATTCGGCTCTCTATTTTTTTTTTCCTCCCTATTCTGCTCTGCTCTCCCTGGCCCCCCCATCTGTGTGTGTGTGAGTGAGTGAGTGTGTGTGTGTGTGTGTGTGTGAGTCTTGCGCCCGGCCCAGGGATCAGAACAGACACCACTACCAATTACACTTTGCCAAGGATTTTTTTTTTTTCTTTTCTTTTTTTTTTTTTCAAGGTTCATTTTTTTATTTTTTGGAATGCACAAAGGACTGTTTATTTTAAGTGCATCTATCTCCGTTCTTTAAGTTCTTTTTTTTAGCCCTTGACATTTCTATTTTTAATTGATCGTTTTTCTTGCTACAAGTTTTTAATCTGTCTTTTTTGCCATTTTTTGCTGTTGTGTAAAGAGCTGCTGGCCGTGGTCCGGCTGCAGTGAATTCTTCCTTTTAAATCTTGGGGTTTTTTGTTTTAAACTTTGGCCTACTGTCTTCAGTGAGCAGCATATTCTGCTAATTATTTTTTTACAGCCCCCAAAGTTTTTTTTCTTTTTCATCTGCTAATTCTCCACACCCTGCCAAACCAGCACTTGCTTTACATTGGGGAGCGCGGGAGGAAAAAAAAAAACTGGTGCAGGAGATTTTTTTTTCACTTTAAACGCTGTGCCAAATTTATGATGAGAGTGCAAAATGGTAACTACCAGGCCGTCTGTCTTCCTCTAGCAGTGTGGTTTTCTGTGGTGAATTCTGTCTGCTTTCAGTTTGTTGTGGAAATGTGAGTCTGGTTGGAGCTCCCTTGCATGGTAGCAGAGATAGGAAATGGTATGGCTGATCTTTTAGCGGCACATTTCAACAGTGGTCTTGTGGCGACAAAGCTTGGCGGTGGTGAGCGACCGGTGTGTGGCAACCCTGGCACAGGAGCGCTGTGGCGAGATCTGGGCTTTGTTGCCCAGAGATATGTAGCGAAGGTATTATGGTACAGCAGAATAACTTTTTTCTTTTTGCAGCAGAACACCGGGAGCGCAACTTGGCTCAGCTTTTCAGCTGCTTTTGGATTTGAATTCATGCTTTTTGCATTTGTTGCCTTGAATGTTTTGGTGTTTATTTATGCAAAAGGAGGCTAACAGTTAAGATGATTTTCTTTATAATTACTGCATATTTATTTACATTTTATCTGAATGGATAATGCTAAAATATAAACATTTTAGACAAGAATATTATTTGAATAGCTTTTTTTGAATTTAAATATTTAGTAATTAGTTTCTCAATTAACATGTAATTATAATAATTTAGATTTTAATAACGATTATTATAATCACTGCATTATCATATATTTTATTACATTTTCACTATTTCTCTATTGCCTTATTTTCATAAGAAATTGCTTTAACAGCTTTATTTTGAAGATTTGCATGCTCTCTTTTAAACTAAAAGCCTTTCCAGCCTCCTAACACTACGTCTTTTCCTCCCTCTCCTCAGGATGAATTTCATCCCTTCATTGAGGCCCTCCTCCCCCATGTCCGTGCCTTCTCCTACACCTGGTTCAACCTGCAGGCCCGTAAGCGCAAGTACTTCAAGAAGCACGAAAAGAGGATGACCAAGGACGAGGAGCGTGCGGTGAAGGACGAGCTGCTGGGGGAGAAGCCAGAGATCAAGCAGAAGTGGGCCTCGCGCCTGCTGGCCAAGCTCCGCAAGGACATCCGGCCAGAGTTCCGCGAGGACTTTGTGCTCACCATCACGGGGAAGAAGGCCCCCTGCTGCGTGCTGTCCAACCCTGACCAGAAGGGCAAGATCCGCCGCATCGACTGCCTCCGCCAGGCCGACAAGGTGTGGCGGCTGGACCTGGTGATGGTCATCCTGTTCAAGGGCAGCCCCCTGGAGAGCACGGACGGCGAGCGGCTGGTCAAGTCGCCCCAGTGCTCCAACCATGGCCTCTGCGTCCAGCCGCACCACATCGGAGTGACGGTCAAGGAGCTGGACCTCTACCTGGCCTACTTCGTCCACACACCAGGTACGTGGGCTGCCGCCACCTATGTGACACACACACACACACACACACACACACACACAGGTCAGCATGTGATGTGTCACACACACGCTGGCATGCGTGTGGCAGATTAGACCCTACCCTTTGCTGCGTGCCCAGCCGAACCAGTGCCAGGATTCGATAAATGCCGTCAGAATTCAGATAGCGACTGCATCTTGACATTTAAAGGGCCAGCCTGCGCGGCGTCATCTTTCAAAAATGTGTTCCAGAGAGATGTTTCTATCTGCTTTAAAGAGATTCTGAGAATTTAACAGCCAGGCTTAAAACCTGTGTTTACCTAGAGATATGTTTGCATTGGTACATTTGTTCAAGCATTTGTGTGCAAATTTGTCCAAATCCAAATGTGCATGTTTTCCGGTGCCATGTGTAAACAAAAGCATCTGCAAACCTGTTTATCTGTGTGTGCATGCATGTGCATACGTGTATGTGTGTGTGAGGCTGTTTGTCATGTGTCTGTAATCCATGTGTATGTTATTGTGAGATTGGTGTGTGTGTGTGTGTGGTGGTCTGGAGAGTGCAGTGACAGCTGGCCCCGTCCCAGGTAGTTTAGGAGGCAGGGAGAGTCAGCCTGTCTGCAGCCTCGGCCGCCTTATGCCACACTCACACACTCACAAGTGGAGACACACACACACACAGGAGCCCTCCCTCAAACACAACTCACCCAAGCTGCCCTGCTCACATTTGTTGCGCACAAGTAGAGACTTCTGTTTGTTTATGAGATGTTTTATTTTTCCATATTCGGCACACGTGCTTCCTGCTCTGACCAATCAGTTAAAATAGAGGTGGTAAAAATATTTAGTGTGATCAACCCTGCATGCATTCTTCTCACTTTCTGTATTAGTTATAATATTCCGTTTTTTATATTTAGCATATATAGATACTTAATTTAATTGATTTTAGCAAGGATAATTCTTTTGTGTTATTAAATAGCAATACTAAAATGTTAAATTAACATAAATTATTAACTAGGTTTTTTTTATTGCTTTTGCAAAATTAAACACTCTTTCTTCCTTTTTTCTGGTGTAAAACAATAAGATTATATTTAGTTATTTAGTTAATTTTTAAGCTAAAAATATTCTACATTAATTTAGTGGCACGTTACTGCAGGGAACACAACTGTCACTCTGCAAATAATCCACTTTCATTGCAGCAGATCTAAATCAACAGCTTTCGAGGTGTGCAAAAGTCACATGATTGTGTTTAAAAATGAAATTTAGTGAAAGTGAAAAAAGAACACAGCTGCTGGTGCAGCAGTGGTGTTGCAGGTGGTGTAGCCCTTGTATTTGTGGGTGCTTGAAATGTGCTGTGTGTGAGCCCAGCTGCACCACAAATAGGCACAATATGAAAATTTCAAGTCTCAATTATTGTGGCGCAAATAATCGCGATAATATGGTGTATCGCGATAATCGTGAAAATATACTTTATACTTTTTGTTAAAAACACATATTTATTGCATCACAGACAGAATCTCATCTTATTTTGGAATCTATACTGTTTCCACACATCCAGTTTAATGCTTTTTGTGGGGGATACAACGGGTGAGCCGAGCCTTCAGTCATGGTGACAGGATTAGGATTTTGGAATGAATAGAAAGATGCTGGCTCCCTCTTGTCCACTTGTTCAAAAAAATAATAATCAGGAAATCAATCTAGGACTGTATGCTGGAGAGAAAAACAGCTTTTTCAAGTCAAGCCATGTGAGGATATTCAGTTATCCCGATAATAGAAATTTACCACAATGTTTTTTATCGCGATGCGTGATAATATCGTTTGTCACTTACCATAAATACTATAGATTCACTGTGACTCCAGTTTTAATTTACAATTTGAAATCATATATTTTGCCTTTTCATCATTTCCAGTCACAGCCCAGGTATGTGTTTCTATCATTCAGGTGTTTGCAGGTAGATCAGGTGAAAAGGCTGCTGTTACAGACCCTCTCTCTGCCCTTTACTATTATCCCGGGTCTCTTACCACAAACTGGCATACAGTTACAGGACCTTAATTCTTCTCCTTGGCAGGGAGGAGCAGCGTTCCTCTGTGACAGAGTACCCCTTGCCAGGCTCCTTTCAGCCCAGTGTGTAACTCTGCTTGAGTTTGCGGGGCCTCCGTGAGCGCCTCTTCCTGTTCCACAATGCGCCGTGGCGAACCGCGGCTCAGATTAGCTCCCAGCGCAGCCTGGTGCCCCTCGGAGTAAAGCCTTTTTTCACTCCGTGCCAGAATCCTGCAGCCCCCCCCATACATACACTAGATCAGCCTTCATCTTGCTGATTTGTGTGTTTGCACATCACGTTTGTGCTCCTGAGCGTTCTTATATGAATCTGTTCAATTATTGTTTTTTAAAATTGGAAAAGGCTTGTGTGTTTCCGTCATAAATGAAGCGCTGCTATTTATTGTCTTTCCCGCTTGCCTAAAAAAGCAGAGTGCATTTAGAGCTGCATCTGCTGTCAAAGTCCGCTACTGTGGGAGGGGAGATGGGTTCTTATTCTCCTGCTCAGCTCTTCCACAGCAGCCTCAAAGGCAGCACCTTGTGCGTAGGGCTCCAGCGGGACAGAGAGAACATCAGGAACCAAACAAAAAAACATCAACTTGTACGGAGCTTGGATTGCTGTGTTTTCCAGGCGGCTGGCTGGGGTTAACCAGAGTTTACAGAGGACAGACAGGCAGTGGCTCCATTCTAACCTTTGGGGTGGCAGCGTTACAGTTTTATTCTTAGCTCCTCATTCCAGGGTGTCTGTGTCTTGCGGAAGCTATCAGTTGCCAGGCCTGATGATTGGACCGCGTCCGTCTCACCCGCCTGTCCCCGCCGCGGCGTTTCAGTTCTCTTGTCCCACTGATGTCACTGTCGCCAGCTGCGGGGGGGGGCTCTGCTTTCAAGCGGGGAGGTTGACAGAACAGGAGATACAACACACACACACACACACTAACCCCCTCCTCTGTTTCGCTACAGTATGTGTCTCTGCTTTTGTCCAATTATAGACTTGGGCCCGTCCAGGAGGGGCAGGGAGAGCTGGGACAGATCACAGCCGCTGTACTCTGATCTGCGCTTCTGCTCTGCAGCTGCAAAGAAAGGTTCCACTACCAAAAAGAGCCTGATCACTGTGTTATTTGACAAATACCTGGCTGCACACAGCACACACAGATCAGGATGTAATCGTCACGGGCTGATGAGAGTCGACCCCAAAAGTGGTTTACGTTCTTTCCCCTGATCCTGCTGCATCTGATGATGATAACAATAATGGTTCAGGGATGTGGAGGAAGCAAGGGAGATGGTGGGGGGGAGAAGAGAGAGAGGATCTGACCTCATCTTTGATCACATGTCTGTCGAAAACTAAAGTCTGGCTCGCCAGTTGGGCGCTGAGGGCCTTCGGACCCCAGATCAGGTCATGTTTTTCGAGCGTCGTGTTCCATATTTGTCCGGTCTAGCATTAGTCATGTTTGGAGCCCGAGCCACCTCATACAGCTTTCATTACTCGAGCTGTTATGATAAAAAGATGTTTCTGAGAGTGCAGCCTCCGTATCTGTTCTCCGCGCTGGAGACAGACAGACCAGAGAGGTGTCCCGGGCCAGGTCCGAAAGCCAGCTGTGCGCGCTTGTGCCAGACTGCACCGTATCTCCATGCTGCTATGGTGCTCCTAAGACGTTCATTTACCCATCAATGTGTCTGCGCGCGTCGTCCCCGACATTACAAATGGCCAAGAGAATGTCTTTTAATAGAGGCGAACAAAGAGAGGACTCGACAGGGAGACAGACAGCCAGACTGAGAGACTTAACGCCTGCACGTCACGCTAATCCATCAAACACATCTTATCTGCTTTGCCCAATATCCTGAGCTTCTAAAGGAGGTAACGCTATCAGATGCAGTTACATAATGAAGAAGAGACCAAACAGGACAGAGTGGGTTTTGTTTTGTGTGTGGTGGTTTATAGAGGCTGTACACTGTGGCTGTTGTAGGTTATGTTGTCCTGAGTGTTTGCAGAAGAAGAAAGGAGAGAATCGTAATGTTTAAAAGAGGAAAAAAAAAATCCCTCTGTCTCTTCTTTTCCTTGGCTGAGCGTGTTGTCGCAGAGATTTCTGGATGGAGAGTAGAATTGTGCTCCAGTGTTCTGGCATCGGTCCGTAACCCGGGCCGACAGAGAAACAGAGAGCGTCGGCGCCGAGGGAGCCACATTCATCTGGTGTGAAAAACACTGCTGGTCCGACACTTTCAACGGAAACTTTCTTACGCTTTGTTGTCATTTGAAATAATGCGGCCAATAAAGTTTGAGCTTCGGCGAGCCCCGTCTCATGGCGGGACAGCATCAGTGACACTGTGCTGTTTTTAATACGCGCTGAGGCGTAGGGGCCTCCGACAGCCCCAGTTTGGCCCGTTTTCAGAGCCCCCTAGTTTTTCCAGTTGCTTTTTCTGTGTCAGAGAAGGAGGGGGAAGAAGAGTGGAGTGTGCGGAGTGTAAGGAATTGCTGGTAAACAGATTATTCCAGTATGATCAAAATAAATTGGTCAAAAGGTGCAAGCCGCTGCGCCGCTGCTTGGCCCGAATCCTCTGACCTCCTCTAACCGATCCCTCACGACTTTCCTCCAGTCTGCAGGTCCGACTGCCTAGCAGCTCCACGGGCTTGGTAGCAGGCCAACCTGCTTCATATTCACTGTAATTATCCAGTTTAGTGAATAATACAGGAAAAGATACACAAAAGACTGAGTATATGATTGAATTAAGTCTAATTTAGAAACAAAGGTCAGGTCTTAGCTTTGCAAATAGAAAAATTCCTTGTACCAGAAAGTACCTATTGTGGGCAACATGGATTAGCTTTATTTCCTAATTTCACTGTACAGTGATTTTTAATTATTTGTGTAATTAAGGTTAATAAATGTTATGCTGTCTCTTTTATCAATTTAGCTGCTCCGCTCAGCAGAGTTGTTTTTAATACTTGCTCAGCAAATGGTGGCTGAGATTTAAGAAACAGA